GAATATTTGTAAAGCCTTACTGAAATGTTCTAGGTGTTTATATCATGTGAAACATATTCCTACTGCTATTCAGGCTTGCAACAGGTGGATACAGGAACTTATCCTAGGACCTGATGCTTTTCTTTTGTGTATGTGTCATGAGTCAATGAACTATTCAATTTCACAGAAACTAAAGTCTCAAGATCTTTTGAGCAAGTATTTATAAAGAGCTTTTTTCCTCAAAAAGATTTCTTTATTGAGATTAAGTAACTTACATAAATTTCACAGTACTGTGGCATAGTTACACTTATCTAAAATCATAAAACATTTTACCCTTCATAATGATTATCATCATCTTTTTAATCTATGAAATTTATGAGCTCTACAAACATTAATATTAAACTATTTCTTCCAGATCAAGTGATATGATAAAGAGCTTTAACAAGTAGTATCTCTTCCTGGTTGTTATTGGGAGCTATTGAGCAGAAAGAAATAATGTTCAAAGAGGAAACATCTTCAAATTCTCAGTTCCAGTTGGATCTAAACTTCTCTCCATTGTGAATCTCCTAGGTTCTGGGCTACACCTGGTTGATGGTCATAGAGGAAGGGGTGCCCTCTGACCTTTCCTAAATCATAGATTTCCTAAATCCTAGATCTTAAGAGCTTATTTGAATAAAGAGCTAAACATTTTTTCTGTAATGGGATGGGTATTCTGTAGAAAAAGAAGTATGATGCTTGACATAGGATTTTGCTTCCTGATTCCAAGGAAAGCAAAGAAGTCAACGTGATTTAGGAATTCTTGAATGTTCTTAGGATATACCATTTAATGGCTCAGCTCTTTTTCTTCTTTCTCAGTAATATTTCTGGTCCCATAGTTTTGGAGTCTTGTGGATGAAATCTGAATGAATGTTACTTCTTTTAATTTATGATGTATAATTTTAATTTATTATTTAAGAAGTATTTCCAACCTTCAATAAATCAAATTATATTCACCTGGACTTTCTAGAATTACATTTTTATATTATTTTTAACAAATTACCTACTGCTCTGGCTGTATGGTTAGCTGATCATTCGGGAGAGTGGCTTCTTATTCATAAAGATTCTCTCCAACTTTTGCATTTTCTTTTCCTATTACAGTATCATAATTTCATCTTCCTTATCCTTCTCATCATCCATTTGCTTTAAATATTTATACAATAGATATTGTACCTCAAGTGAGAATTAACAAAAGAATACATGCTAAAAGACAAATAACATCCCTAATCCTGCTGTCACATTGCTGAACACTGGCTACTGGGTATAACACTCTGTGTGCTTTTATTTTAGTTGAGTTTATTTCTTTTATATTGTAATGTGAAGTTGTTTTTCTTCATCTTTATATGAAATATAACATATTACAAATAATTCTTCATTTTTTTTTCTTTTGGTCGGATATGGGGCTTGAACTCTGAGCCTAGGCACTGTCCCTCAGCTCTTCAGCCCAAGGCTAGTACTCTATCACTTGAGCCACATCACCACTTCTGTTTTTCTGGTGGTTTATTGGAGATAAGAGTCTTAAGGACTTTCCTTCCGTGGGCCAGCTTTGAGCCGTGATCCTCATTTCTCGGCCTCTTGAGTAGCTAGGATTATATGGGTGAGCCACCAGGACCTAGCTTAGTAACAAGGTTCTTAAAAGCATTTCATTGAAGGGCTGGACATGGTAATTCATGCCTGCAATCCCAGCTAAACTGGAGGCAAAGATTTTTAAGATTGTGCTTCATTCATAGCTGTCCTGGAAAGCAGTGAAACTCAACCCCAAAAACAAGTTGTAGCACGTGGTATATGTTTCTGAAGCTATGCAGGAGATGAAATTAGAAGGATTGTTATAGAAGGCCTAGCCAGATAAAATCACAAGACCTCATCTGAAAAATAAACTGAAGTAAAATCTGATGGAGAAATGACTTAAGTTCTAGAGCCTACTAAGTAGGAAACCCCAAGTTCAAACACCAATAGAACCAATTATATTGCTTTATCATTTACTACATCGTTTATCATTTACTGCTAAGCATATAATATCTTCAATACAAATCATGTATTCAATTTCTTCTAATTTCTATAAATTCAATATTCTTTTTTTATTTCAGTTCTAGGACAGGGTCTTGAACTCACGGCCTCCTGCTCACTCTTGTTTGGATTTTTCTCTCAAATTGGTGTTCTACCACTTGAGCCACATCTCCACATCTGGCTTTTTACTTACCAATCACGGAAATAAGAGTCACAAGATTTATCCAAAGATGGTGGATAAATATTAAAATGCTGCTTTCCCATGGCTATCATGACAAACCTCCTTTTTCTGCCCTTCACTATGTCTGTATTTGGCATTTGGGAGTGAGGAGTCAGACATGATACAGGAGTCTGCATTTTAAAATGTTAAAAATCTGGTTTCAGAATGATCTGTGTCCAGCATGGGAGATGTGCTTTTGGTTCTGTTAGACTGCAAAACATGGAGACACATGCTTAGTCTATAGTTTGGATAACTTGCATCCAATGATTTGATATTTCAAATTGATATGTCAACATTTTACTGTAAATTATCCTGATGGTATTTGCATAGAATCTTTCTTGTGTATCATTACAGTTTTTATTCTCTTTATCTCACAGTTCTTTTTGTGTGTACTACAGTTAGAACTCAGGGACTTCAGATTGCTAGGCCAGCACTCTATCCACTAAGCCACCCTTCCAACTGCTGCTTTTGCTTTAATTCATTGTTCTGCTATCATCTGGAATGTACAGAAAATTCTTCAGCTGCCCTGGACTGAGATATTTCTACCTCTTTGTCCTTTATATCTGAAAGTACAAGGCATGCATCACCAGGCCTGGACTTCTCATATTTTTCTTATTTGTGTTCTTGTCATCTCATGGTAGTGGTCATGACGTGTACTTGACATGTGCAATATTTAAAGCATACACCTACATGTGCCTCACCCAAAGTTATTGGCAGTGAGTTTTCCTGAACCTAACATTAGAAAAACTCTGAAGAAAATTCCAGGAACCAAGGTGAAAATCTTATCCAAAAGTTACTGTAGAGAACCCTAAGAAATAGAGACACTAAAACTATATAGCCAACCAAACAGTTGCCCACTATGCAGCAATTGTGATGAGCAAAAGATCACAGTGATCTCAGGCTCTCTGCTACTTAGCAGTCTGAAATTCAGGTCTACCTAGAACCCACCTTGGGTTTTTCCTGCTCCTTCAAGTGTGCTTATTGGATGGCTGGTCTTCAACCATGCATGTCTTGAAGGACAGTGTGATCAGCTCTTTACTTTGGCTTAAGTTCTCTGGCTCTGAATGTCCTCCCTGTCTGTCTTCTAATTCCTCAATAAAAAATTAAACTCTCCTTTTCCATCTGCAAGATGTGTCTCAAGAAAGCATTTTCATCTGTGCCACTCTATTCCATGTATGTCTCTGCAGACTCAGGGTAAAATGCACATCCATAGACACAATCCAGCTGCTATCCTGTGAGCCTGAGGTCAAACAATGTGCCCTGGTGGCCCCGCCCTTCCGTGCTTTATGGAGTGTGGCAGCTGCTAAGTTCCTTACTTATCTGCTTCAGCATCCTCATTTGTGTAATTGTTACAGTAGTGTTGAACACTTTGCTGTATCTTTCTCTGGGATTTTACCTTCTTCCATCCATGGACCAATTTTTTCCTTGGCTATTTTTACTCACAGTATCATATATCTCATAATCCTAAGTATTTTCTTCAATGGCAACAAACCCCTGAAGTCTTTCATCTCACCACATCTCCACCTCCTCAATCTATTTCCTCCTACATCCACAGTTAGAACATTGCCTATAAAAGAGAGATGCCCTATTTTTGTCATTTTTACTTGCTCTTAATTCACCTTTGTGTATACCTTTTCCCTAATACTTAACTCATGATATTTAGTAGTGGAAACTTCAATACCCACCATAGAAACTCTTTCAGAGTGAGTTTTTTCCCCCAAGTTATTCTTTATGATTAGTTGGATATATTTCCAGGTAAAGTTATAATCCATAGGACAATATTTTGTAAAATGGAAGAGTTTCCTATACATTGGTTAAAAAATTTGGTAAGTCTTAAGAGGATACATAAATGACACAACATATAATAACAAAACAATGTGACAATAATACTTGTTAGACAATATATTGGAAATGAACTGTACAACTTGGGCTGGGGGAGTAGTTGGCAAGGTAGACACTGGAGAGAATGAGGGAGAGGGCAACACTATTCAAAAAGAAACCTACTCATTACCTTACTTTTGTAACTGTAATCTCTCTATGTATCACCTTTACAAAATCGTGAAAACAATAAAATAGGGAAAATCAGAAAAATCATAGACTAATATCTAATAATACATCATATATAAAAATAACACATAATAAATTTTATATAATTTATATTTAATTCTTATGTACTGTATCTTATGCAATATGTATATATACATAAATATGATGCATAAGTTGCATGCATATGTTCAATTGTCAATCTGAGAATCAGAGGGCTTCTAAATTAATGAAGATCTGCTTTATCTTGATTTTTGTTCATTTTTATTTTTATAAATAAAAAACTTCAGTGACTGTCAAAGATTCCTAGATTCTTTTTTTTTTTAATTTTATTTTATTTTATTTGAGAACATACTGTACAGAGGGGTTAAAAGTACATGGGCAGGATAATGCATACATTTCTTACCAAGCATTGCAGCCTCCTTTGTTTACCCTTCACCTCCCTTCCCAGCCTCCCCCCTCCCCCCCCACCCAATCATACCCCCCCTCCCCCACCACCGACATTGTAAAGCTGGTTTTGACATGACATTTTGTACTTCTCATTGTTGCAACAGGTCCACCTGAAAGATTCCTAGATTCTTGAGATTAAAACAGAGAAGATTCAGTGAGCTAGGAACACTGCTGTCATTCTTGGTGGGAACTGGTCTGGAGGACAGACGGACTAAGCTCAAGAAACATCTCACCTTCAGTGTACCTTGCAGGGGAGAGCACAGAATGGCTGTGCCAACAGTGTTGTTTGTATTCAGTGTTTCTCTTGATAATTTCAGCTTGATTGATAAGTGGAACTGGGATTTAGAAAATAGAAATAAACTAAATTTATCCTCCTTTCACCCCTCCCTTTCTCTCCTTCCATTCATCTCCATCTCCTACTTTGCTTCTCTATCTCTCTCTTTCTCTCTTTCTTTCTCTCCCTCTCTCCCTCTCTCCCTCTCTCTCTCTCTCTCTCTCTCTCTCTCTCTCTCTCTCTCTCTCTCTCTCTCTCTCTCATTTTCCTTATTTTCTTAGGCAATGTATGTTGAATATATTCCACAAGTAGAAATCTCTTTTAAAATTAGATAACTGATCTCTGCACTTCATCATTCTGGTTGAGTTAAAGAGAAAAACTATAGGCTGTCTCCATTTAAGAAAAAATATTTCTAATGGAGTCAACAGCTATCCATGACATATCAGCAGTCCAGGAGTAATGGAAAATACCTGTTTTAATAAATAGGAAAACCCTGCAACAAACTTTGTACTCATTGATACAGTTATTTAGCATTTTACCACTCAAGTTTTATGCAAGTATGAAATGTTCACTATTACTTTCTGTACCTAAAATTTTACTGAGGTTCTCCAAATGCAATAAGAAAAGCTAAAACTAATTGGAAAAAAAGCACAAAAGACCTGAAACAGAAAAAGGAAGTGGCAAACTGTCTATACTTGCTGATGAAATTTATGTATAAAGTATTTAAAAATCACAAAATAAAACTTTTGAAATAACTTTGAAGTGTCTCCATGCACATTGTGAATATCTATTCAAGATTAAAAGAAACTTGAATAAACGCAGATTATTTCAGTGTTTATAGTCTGGAATGTCATTGTAATATTTCAACATTCAGCCCAGTGCCAGTATCACACATCTATAATTACACTTACTCCAAAGATTGAGACATAGAAGCTCGCTGGTCCAGGATATCCTGGGCAGGACTCATTTCCTATGATTCTAGAACAGCTCTTACAAGAGGAAGCATGAGGAAAGCAGCTGAGGCAGCCCAGGCTCACACTTCTGCTTCTTGGAGGTTTATGTTATGGCTTGTATCACTGTGGGTGGGTTATTATAATTCTGTTGACAGTAATAAGTGGCAATGTCTTCAGGCTGCAGGCTACTGATGGTGAGAGTGTACTCTGTACCAGATCCACTGCCACTAAATCCGGAGGGGATCCCAGATTGTAAAATGTTTGCACCATAGATCAGGAGCTTTGGAGCTCCCCCTGGTTTCTGCTGGTACCAGTTTAACCAACTGTTAATGCCCTGACTGGCCCGGCAAGTGATGGAGACTCTGTCTCCAGGAGATGCAGACAAAGTGGATGGAGACTGGGTCATCTGGATGTCACATTTGGTACCTGCCATTGGAAAAGTAATAAGTATACAAAGAATCAAGCGTGTTTTCAGAAAGCTTCATAAACAGCCAGGCATCACTGACCACAGCAGACTGAGGAGATCCTCAGCGTAGTCTTTCCTTACCTGTAATCCAGAGCAGCAGGAGCCCCAGGAACTGAGCAGAGGCCTTCATGTCCATGCTGTGTGCTGGCAAGGACTGACTCCTGCTCAGGGTATGAGCAGCTTTCAAGAACTGCTCAGGGCAGTGGGCTGTGCTCTGGGCACATGCAAATCAGTAGGGGTTGGAAGGGGCCAGCACAGCTGCACCAGCCCAGTATATCAGCCCAGACATGATGTCCCAGATACAAAAAAAACACACCAGGGTAGCACTGATGTGCCTGAAGAGAATATGTTTCTCTCTGAGGTTAAGGGGACAGAATGCCTCTCTGGTTAAATACAATGAACTTTAATTTACACATGGGTCATGACACGCTTTTCATAATTGCATTTTTTCTAAGTCAATTTTTCAAGCAAAAACTGTTCCAAAATGTAGAATTAATGATTTAGATCAGATTTTCTAAGTCTTTGGTTTCCTTGAACCTGTTTGTTAATCATGGACACAATTACTCAATTACTCAAGCTACATGGGTATATAGATTGATAGAGAGATTGACAGTTAAATAAATAGATGATAGACAAGTATTAATTAAGATTTAATGAAAGACAATGAAAAGTATGAAATTAAAGTATGTGCAGTATTGTGCTATCGTGTGCAATGTACAGGCTAACCTTTGGGTTTTGCTATCAACTCCAGGTTGCTGTCCTCTGGTTCTGAATGTACTTTCCTACCACCATCATCCAGTAGACTTAATATCAGACATTGGCTCTCTGTATACTGAAAGGAACTGGTTACAGGCATAGCCTTATTACATTGTACATTTCTGAACTGCAAGTCTTGATGACATTCATGCCTTATTGTTAATCCAAGTTATTCCTCCTCAGAACCTGAGCTATTCTCTAAACCAACACTCAACTAAACTTTAATTTATTCTGCCTCTTAAAACTGTAAACTCCTACAGTACCTTCCATTTAATGGAATTTGTAATGAAAGAAGTTTTCAGTGGGGGCTGGGAAGTTGGCTCAGTGGTAGAGCGCTTGCCTTGCATTCCTGAGGCACCACATAAGCAAAAAGAAAAAAGCCGGAAGGGGTGCTGTGGCTCAAGTGGTAGAGTGCTAGCCTTGAGCTGAAGAGCTGAAGGACAGCGCCCAGGCCCAGAGTTCAGGCCCCACAACCGGACTCAAAAAAAAAAAAAAAAAAAAAGAAGTTTTCAGTGATTTAATTTAGAGTTTATGATATAAACAAGCTCTGAAAGGATGACATGTAGCGTAGTGAAGTGTGAAGTGGGACACTGGAGCTGCAAAGCCAGACAAACAAAATGCGACAGGTGATAAATCCAGAGTATGATGAGGAAGGCTCCCACCTGGAATCCAGCAAGTGAGGAAGCTGTGCACCCTAGTGCCAGATGTACAGGACATTTGCTTGACAATGAATCCACCATCTTAGTGTGAGTCCAAGCAGTTGCTGCAGGTGCACAAAGATAACACCACTCCCCAAAGGCCAGTAGCTCACAGACCAGGCATTGCCAAAGTCAGAGTCCATCTGTACCAGGCCCTACATGACAGGTTCCTATAGCAACCCTGCTAACTGAAGTATTTCACACACTATTGGAGCAAAGCAGAGTATAGAAATAAATTCTTTATTCTTCTCCCCCCTCCACATAATGAGTAGAGCTTTGATGCTGGACCTGGCTCATTGTAAACATGCACTCCTGGTGCAGACGTCTCTTGATTTTCATTCCTCTGACATGGGTTTGAGAGAAGAACAATTAGAGGAATAGCTTTCAGTTGCAGGTGGAAGAAGAGTGGATATGAGGATGGAGAAAGTATCACCCGACTAATTGTGAAGTAAGATAGTCAGTCCTAGGCTGGGAATGTGGCTATGTGGTAGAGTGCTTGCCTAGTATGCATGAAGCCCTCGGTCCAATTCCTCAGTACCACATACACAGAAAAAGCCAGAAGTGATGCTGTGACTCAAGTGGTAGAGCACTAACCTTGAGCACAGAGAGGGCCAGGGATAGCATCCAGGCCCTGAGTTCAAGTACAAGACTGGCAAAAAAAGACAGTCCAAGCCATCTGTGCTGGTAAAGATGGTGTTCTACTGCTCCCTCCTCCTCTTCCCTCTGCCTCTGAGCCCTCACACACAATGCATTCTAGGACATGAAGTGTTGGTTTCTCCGGCAGCCTGGCTATGAACCCCTTGGCTCCAGTGGGCCTCTCCAGCTGCCTCACCAGTTGGAGCCCAGGTTGAGGGACACCACCTGTGTCTCTCAGATTTTCCATGAATCATCTTTCACCTGGATATTCTTAAAAATATTTAAACCTTTTTTAATTTACACGATTTTTCATAAATTTTTAATTGTCACTACTTATTTGTTTGGCTCTGGTCCTGGGCCTTGACTCAGGGCCTGGTTTGACCTGGTTGAGGTTTCCTTCCTCAAGGATAGTGTTCTACCACTTGAGCCAAAGCTCCACTTCCAGCAATGATTTTGAGGGTGGGATGTCTTTGGGGAAGAGTAGTTCAGTGGAGATGACAGGCTCCTGTACTTTCCTATCTGGTCTTTTTGGAATCATGGTCTTCTGATCCCAAGCTCCTGAGCACCTAGGATAGAAATCTTGAGTAAGAGGTCCTCCAGCTTTTCCTCTCTTTGGAAAACATGTGATTACTTTTCCCTGTCCAGAGGCCCACTGAGTAGTCTGTGCTTTATTTGAGCCTGAGACACACAAACACACTGATTGTGTGTGTTTGTTGTGTACATGTATGTGTCTATTCTTTGCTCTATACAGATGTTCCCTGTGATTTGAAATCCCCCCACAGTATTGCACTTATTTTTTCATATATTGGTATAAAATTATTTCACTGATCTTGACGATGCTTGACTGCTTTCCCCTATCCACAAATAATCTGCATAATATGTGCACTATGTGGGTCTGTGTGTGGGCACATGGTGCATCTTCACACAGCTGTTCCCTATGAATGGGAAAAAACACCTCCCTCCTCAAGAGTATTAACACTTATTAATTTATATGTCTTCTAAACCCAATTCACTGAGAGATACCTGTTCCTTAGGACATCTTCCTTCAAGTTGTACAAGGACAAGAGTTAAAGAGGGAGGAGTAGCCATGAGGTTCTAGGTTCCCGGGGTAAGGTAAGACTGGACATATTATGAAACTGTTGCCCTGGCAGAGGCATGGGAAAGCCAGTGGGAAGTGTCCTTTGGATATTTCCCCGTTATTCCAGGCTTCCTGAGCTCATAACCAGGGGAACTTGCCATTGCCTTGGTTGTACTCAAGAATGGTCTTGACCATGAGCCGGGAATTTCTTATATCAGCGGCCTTTCTGGTGTTGCCCATAGGCCTGGGGGCAGCCATGGTGGTACCAAAAGGAGCACAGGCTATTGTCTGAGCTTGTGGATGAAACATCCTGCTTCCCAGACCACTCTCTCCTCCAACCCCACGAGCACTAGCAACACTACCAGCACACCTTCCTCCTCCTACACCTCCAGCTCCTGGCTGGCCAGCACTGTCTGCAGCACTTGCCAGGTGGTTGGCGATGTGCACACTCACAGTGTGAGCCAGTTTGGGTACGACCTTGCCTCCTCGGGATATGGCTGGCCTTACAGTCTGGCCAAGAAGCTTGCACCAGGGCCAGGAAGCTTTTCTGGAGGTGGGTGTAGATGCTTCTGGACCCACTGGTCTCAGCTCTTCTTGGACTGGGCAGGCTAGACCCTGGTACTCACTGCTTGCAGACCCTGTGCACCACGGGAATGGGGTGAGTGTTTCCTTGATGCTGGTTCAGAGAACGGGTAAAAGTCCTGGAAACCAGTGCAAGGAGAATGCAGGGCAGTCTGGGACTGGCTGGAGCACTGTGTTGTGGGAGGCCCTGAAATACCTGGGTGCACAAGGGAGCGAGGGAGCTGCGCTTTGGTCCGCAGTACAGAGGCATCTTCAGGGACATTCTGACAAAGGCAAGGCTGCCCCTTCCCCTCCCCCTTTCCTTCTCCTTCTCCCACTTCCCAGGGCACAGAGGCTCCGAGCCTGGGTGGAGGGAATAAGGACATGCACTGCAGGTCAGGCAGCCCACCCAAGGTTATCTGTGACTCAGGGAAATTGGGGGTTTCAGTGCTGAGCAGCACCATTGACTTCTTGTGTGGAATTAGTGACACTAGCTGTATAGTTGGCTGGGGCTGGGGCCAGTTGTCCCATGCTCACCCTCAAGACTGAGCTATGCACCGAATCTGAGGGTCTACTGGGGCCGTGGGAGCCATTCCCTTTCAGACCTCCTGGAGCTGAGGCAGGAGCACGAATCCTGACCCTGGTCCTCTGTCTCCTAGGCAGCAGCTGGGTCTGGTTGAGGGCATTCTCGAAAGACTCTGGAGGTGCCCGGAATTCATGCTGTTGCTGGGATTCGCTCTGGTGATTGCACCCACACAGCTTCTCTGGGTTGCCAGAGGTCTGACCTTAGAGGGCCTAATCCTCCTTTCTCCTCCACAGAGGATCAGCACCCCTCTTTTTGTGTGGCTCGGCCCTGTCCCTGGGGTTCCCAAGAGACCCTCTTGTGGGCACCTTGGTGAGTCCCGGACCTACGGTTTGGGAGGGCAGCCGATGCCAGGCATGCCCCCGGTACCTGTGGGCCCATGGTCCTGAGGGCATCTGTAGCTGTCCATGGACCAGTGATGAGGACTGATGCTGCCCCCAGAGGATGCTGGGGGCACTTGGGAACACTTCTCCCACCTGCTACTGGGTCAAGGGCTGGCAGTCTGCTTGCCAGGTCCCTGGAGCTCACTAGCTTCCCAGGCCATGGGGTCTCTGGCCCAGAGCTGAGGCCGCCCTTCCTAGGCACCATGGCTTTTCCCCCGGAGCCCCAAACTACACTTGACTCTTTCAACTTGTCCTCTTGCACCCACTCTGACTCTAACAGCACAAGAGCCTCCTTCCTGGGTTCTTGAGTGCCATCCTGTTGAGAGACCTGGTGTAGAATCGCCGAAAGAAGCCCTGGGTTGCAGCCCAGGAGAGCCAAGGTCTCCCAGCCTGTGTCCAGCTCTTTTGCCATACTGCCCACCAGCAGGTGCTTCCTAAAACCCTTCACTATCTCTCTGACACCCGTGGTGCTAAGGATTTCGGCCGTGA